GAGCACGTAGCTCGGTTCAACTGCTGGAGATGGTCGCGATGATCGTCGTCTTATATCCTCGCGGGCAGACTAGGCAACTTGGTTGCCTGCTGTGACGATTGGAAGATACGTCAGGAGTCGGCTTTACGGAAGAAGACTCAGTACGGCGAGGAATGGCGGGCGAGTTCATATGTGTAAAGCATGAATATCAAGCAGTGTGACTGTTTATTTCACGCTCTTTGGTATGACCACTTCACAGCACATTGCCATCTCTGCTTTTCGCAGATTAACAACCTGTTATTAGATCGCCTATGGTTTCGCCGCAAAACTGCATGGTGAATACCTTTCTTACGGGATTTAAAGGTTATTATTAAAATTTTGCGGTATTGGATTTTTGCAGCAAACCTATGAACAGCAGAACTAACAGACTGAAACTCATTGCATAGTTGCTTGTTTTTTGTTCTCGCGTGTGATTTTCACCATATATTGCAAATGTCGGTTTAATTTGCCAATTTCAGTCTGTTATTTTACTGTACATAGACTGTTCATCGGCAAAGGTAGTTTTTCGTGTTATGTCGGCCACCTAAAGTGGCATTACGTGAACCGAATGAGTATCATTGTTTGATATTCTGTGAACTTACCTGGCTGATGACACGGTGACAGCAAGACATGAAGATTTTGGAGCTGTCGCTTGAAACTTTTCTAAGTTGCTTTGCGCATTATATTATTTTTTCGGTGGATTGCGTTGCCTGCGTTTCGAAATTGATGAAATATGTTCTTGATAGTTCATGGAAAGCATGACCTATTAAATGCATCTCCACCGTGATTAGTAGTGTTATACAGTCTTCCACCATATTTGACCGGTATTTTCGATTCAAAACAAATGCCTGAGGTGAAATCGCGTTTTGCGTACTTTTTGAAGAATACTGGGTCTGAAAATTTCATTTTTGGTCTGATATGACGTCATGATATATTTTTCTTCATCTATTTAATGTATGAGTTTACCAGTCTTTGCTAAATAAGTATTGTGTGACAGTCGAAGGAACGGATAACCGCATTATTCTCGTCATTGCAGTGCGATAAGCGAACGTCCGTGCGTTCATGCTGTAATCCAACTCGTTAAATAAATGGCTTTTGGAAAAACATTGGAAGCTCACAGTTTAGTCCATCTCTCATGTCTGCTGCCGAGTATGTCTGTAGTTGATCATGCGCTTGTACTTCACTTCATTGGGTATGAGTCATTGAATTGCATACTG